TTTTTTTTTTAAAAAAAGATCTTTTATTGATTTTTAGAGATGAGGGAAGGAAGGGGAGGGAGGGAGAGAGAGTGAGAGGGGGAGAGAAACATCCATGGGAGACCGAGACATGATTGGTTGCCTCCTGCACGCCCCCTGCTGGGGATCAAGGCCGCAATCCCCGCATGTGTCCTGACCAGGAATCCAACCGGCAACCTTTGGGTGCATAAGAAGACGCCCAACCTACTGAGCCACACCAGCCAGGGCCCACATGATTGAATCCATGTATGAATGCCTAACCCCTGGGGCTGTTGGGAGCAGGTGCCCAATAAATGTGCACGCATGTCCTCCTTCCTGGGAACATTCACCCCATTGCTGCACCTGCCACCTCACTCTGCATCCTTTCTGTACATTTGTGTGTGGAGTGAGGTGATGCCATTGGCACAGGGCCACACGGCAAAATGCCCAGCAGGCCCCCAATGGGAACATGAATTTGTTCAACTCCGAAGCCCAAGTTCTGACACACAGTAGGTGCTCAATAAACGATCAGATCATGCCTTTTCTCTGTCCCTGGCTTGTCCAAGCAGTGACTGGCCTTTCTCAGCCAGAAAGTACACTGTGTATAAATGTGCATGACCCGAGCCTCCAAGAGCGTCCACCCCCGCGCCCCCTTTCCCTGTCCGGAAGTCCTCTCTCCCCTTCCCTAACACCCCGTGGCCCCTCAGTCCACAGGAAACGTGTGGATGACACATGAGGAGATGGAGTCCCTCACGGCCACGACGAAGCCTGTGAGTGCCCCCTGCCGGCGGCTTTGGGGGTGGCACTAACTCTCTCTCGGGAGGGGCGGGGCGGAACGGGGCGAGTCTGTGGCTGTCTGTCCGTCTGTTCGTTCCTCCCGCCCTCCTTCGCCTGCCCCTTAACCCATCCCTTCTTTCCCCTCTTCCCACTAACGGGTCAGGAGACCAAGGAGATCAGCTGGGAGCAGGTAGGGGGCGCGGGGCGGGAAGGGGGCGCATGACCAGGTTGTGCACGCTGCATGGATGCCCCTTCTTCTCCCAGCCCCGCCCCTATCCTCGCTGGGGCATTCCCTCCTCACCGCGGGGGGGCGCTGTGCGGAGCTCGGCTCTGGACTGTCTCACTGCGGCTTGGTGGGGGTCCGGGTAGAAGCCGAGTGGTTCCATTGTTAGCTGTTAGCTTGGTGCACGGGCCATCCCATGATCGAGGGTGGTGGGGCCTCCGGGGGTTGTTCTGTGGGGGTCTGGGTAGAAGCCGGGTGGTTCCATTGTTAGCTGTTAGCTTGGTGCACGGGCCATCCCATGATCGAGGGTGGTGGGGCCTCCGGGGGTTGTTCTATTGCTATGACTAGAGGGAGATGGTGCACCCGTTTTCCCGCTGGCTGCGGGGGGAAATGTACCGGGCAAAGGGGAAAGCATTTGGGGAGGGGGCAGCACGTCTGGCGGAGAAGTTGGGGAGGAGGAGCTCCAAGAAGGGGGGAGGCATGGACTCACCTGTTGGAAAGAACTGTGCGGACCCCGGGCTCTTGGCTTCCGGCCAGGGGGAGGCATGGATTGTTTCCTTATGCTGAAGTCCGGGAAGGACTTTGGGCCGATCCAGAATATTGTCCCGGGCCGGGTCCAGCATTGAACTAGTATTTTCGGGACAGTGCCAGGGTGCTGGGTGACTCCATGACTCTCTGCTGTGGGGAGCGCTGTGCTGGGAGAATCCATTATGGTTGGGTCCACCTAGCACCACCCTCCTAGACCAGATGCGGGGGGGAGGGGGGATGAGGCCCTGGAAGGAGTCAGGCTTCCTGTGATCTCCTTAATCCATTATGTTGACTCGGGGGCGGAGTGAGGTTGGACTGAGTTGTTCTGAGTTGGGGCCATGCTAGACCACTGCTTCTCAGCCTGTGATGTACAGCTCACATCACCTGAGGATCTTGTGAGAACGCAGGTTCTGATTCAGTCAGGAGCCTGGGCCTGAGAGTCTGCAATCCCAGCAAATTCGCAGGCGCTAGTGATGCTGTGGGTCCAAGGACCTGGGATGCTCACTTTGGTCCTGGTCTCCTGTTGCTTCTCTCTCTCTCTCTCTCTCTCTCTCTCTTTCGGATTCCCTGTCTATGTTTCTGCTTCTCTCCTCATCTCTGTGTTTTTGTCATGGCCCATATTTCTCCCCATGTCTCTCTCCCAATGTTGTTGCTCCTTTCTCTCCCCATGTCTGTCTCTCCTCTCTGTGCGTCTCTCCTGATCTCTGTCTCTCTCCATCCCTCTCTTTCCCTCTTGACGCTGGCCTTGCCTTTCTCCGACTCTCCTCCTTGGTCTCCCTGTGGCTCCCTCCGACTCACGTCCCTTTGACTTGCTCTGTCTGTTTCTTCCCACTGTGGCCTTTGTGTCTTTCTGGTCTCCCCCCACTTGCCTCTCCCCGTCTCTCCGTCTCCGTCTCTCCCTTTCTTTCTGTCTCTCCCCCATCTCCCCCGTCTCTCCTCTTGTGTTCTATCGTCGGTCTCTCCTCTGCCTCTGCCTCTCTCTCCCCCTCCTCCGCTGGCCCAGCTGTGGGTAGGCATGCCTGCGTGGTATGTGGCCGCCTGCCGGGCCAATGTCAAGAGTGGGGCCATCATGGCCAACTTGTCCGACACGGAGATCCAGCGGGAGATCGGCATCAGCAACCCGCTGCACCGGCTCAAGCTGCGCCTCGCCATCCAGGAGATGGTCTCCCTCACCTCGCCCTCTGCTCCCGCCTCCTCCCGCACAGTGAGTGTCCAGTGGCCAATCCCAGCCCTTGCCGCCCCAAGGCCCCGCCTCTGGCCTTCAGTCTAGCCAATCCAGGCCTGCTTATTCCAGCTCCATCCTATCCAGCGGTTCTCAACCTGTGGGTCGCGACCCCTTTGGCGGTCGAACGACCCTTTCACAGGGGTCGCCTAAGACCCTCCTGCCTATCAGATATTTACATGACGATTCATCACAGTAGCAACATGACAGTGATGAAGTAGCAACGAAAATAATTTTATGGTTGGGTCACAACATGAGGAACTGTATTTAAAGGGCCAGAAGGTTGAGAACCACTG